AGGGCGAAAAACAATTGAGTGAAGGAGTTCCTTTGGCGTATCCAAAGGAAAAGAAAAAGAAAGGGCGAACGAAGCGCAAGAAAAACAAGAAAGAAGGAAGATATTGCTTAAATGAAAAGCACTGCCACACAGACAACCAGTCGGCTTTGCTGGAGTTGTTGTAGTGATGCAGACCACTGGCAAAATAAAAACAAAACAAACGCAAAAGACCCCTATGCTGCGCATACACCTCAAGATAAATCCATCATACATATGTCCACTAAGATTACAATTGTTGTAATAATTGTTGTTGCAGACTCACGTGCATCCAAAAGAAGGGCAAGTAATTAGAATAAGCATAAAAAGCAGAAGAAGAACTAAAGAGGAGAAAAAGAAGAGAGGCAGTCCATACAGAGTCAGATGCATTCATAAAACGAAGAGAGCTACAGACACATGCATTAGCAAGAGCAAAAGCCCTCTTAATTCCGTCTTCAAAATTAAAACGAAAAGACGAAAAAGAAATAGAACAGAACGCCAACAAAGAATTCTTTTTTATATTGGCAATGTTCTAATAGCCTTAATAAAAACCATTTATAAAAACCCTAAAACAACGTGACCACTGGTCCTGCAGATGTGTGATAAGTGCCGCTTCTGTATACATTTGGAGCTGACAGCAGTTGCTGTTCTACGAATTCTCTTCGACCTGAAGCAAACAAAAACGATAAAAAAGAATTCAATTAAAATGCAGCAATTGCATGCAGAAAAGAAGCCGCTGCAACGCATTCACTTAAATATAAAAACAAAGAAAACAAAGTAAAATAATACATCCACAACAAACGCACAAACATAGATAAACTATACGCAGCCTATGCTAATGAAATGCCTTCACAAAGGCATCAAGATATTATTAATATATATTATGCGCTGTATATTAAATAAACAGTATAATTACTCAGTGTCATAATAGTGGATGCACACGTTATATACACAACTATACACATTTATTATATATGTTTAATAATACAAACAGTAATATAATCTGCCACTGAGAAATATATAATATATATTTATACTGTTGGTTTAAAAATATATATATATATATTAATAATAATAGCCAACAGTAGGGGCATATGTGCATTTGGGTATAAGATACCTGAGAAATCGTAGGTGAATCTTTTGGTGATATTGCTGCTCCTTTTTCTGCTCATTAACTTTGTCAATACAATTGAAATATTGTCTTCGGACCCCAACAAATATGCAGTGTTCAACATACGAAATGTTGTCTCTACTAGGTTGTCGTTCGTGTTCTATAAACACAGCACAACATAACGTATATATACATATATATATATATATATACATATATATATATATATACATATATATAATGTATATTATATATACATGTATATATTTTACATATTGACAATACTTGCACTTTAGTGTTAAAACGAATATATAAATATACACATATATATGCTTATATTCATACATATATATATATATATATATATATATATGCGTTGTATATTGCATTTTGCCTACATAAAAGATGGATAGATGGATGGATGGATACACAGACATCTATATAATTTATTTATTTATTTATTTATTTATTTATTTATTTATTTATTGCACTGCAGCGCATTTGCAGGTATTTGAATCCGCGAGGAAGCATCAGCCAATCGCACAGGGTAGGAGACAAACAAATGTAATTCTTTTTCTTTAAATGCGTTAAAATAAAAAAGAACAAAGAGGAGGTAAAACAATAAAAATAATATTCACCTGCAATTCCCGCTGCAAAAGATTCGCCACATAATCCCAACTCATGCCGGGCGCTTCAAACATTCCTAAGACAAACAAAACACGAAAATCTTCAATAAATATATTTTAAACATAATACCTAAATTTACCTTACATGTACTCTAAACATAACAAACATTCATATTAACATAATTATCGGCAAAACAACAAACCCAAATATGTTATTATACACAATATATATATATATATATATATATATTGTATATATATATGTATTATGTCGATATATATATATATATATATATAGGAGATATATTTGTAACAAATAGATATGCATAACAAAACCTCGCTAACGAATACGTTCAAAAGAAAGCAGGAAAAAGACACAAAAAGATTCTACAGCGTATAGAGCATCATACAAGCAAAAGGAAGAAGGAGAGAAAAAGAAATGCAATGAGACAGGCGAGGACAGAGAAAAACAAATAAATGGAGAAGGAAAGACAGAGGCAGACGCACATAAACAAACAGATGGAAGGAGATAAACAAACATACGGAGATAAAGAAACAAAAAGATAGACAAACAAACAAAGATATTTAACAAGCATACAGAGATAGACAAACAGACAGATACACAGACAAAGAAATATATAACAAACAGACAGAGCTAAACAGACAAAGAAAAACAATAAACAAACAAAGAAGAACACCCATGCAGAGCAATATGTTTAAGTTTAATTCAAGATTAAGATTATTTACCGTCGCAAGCCATGAAAATATAATCGCCTTCATACGCCTCAAATGTGCGTACATCAGGAATTGCTACGACTTTCTGTTCAGTAGGTGGCAGCGAAGGATTTGCCTTCATACGCTGCATGCACGCATGCACGCATGCAGCCCCATAAAGAATGAATTGCAAACACATTCACCTTTCTTCTTCCTTGACAAAAACATGAACAGAAACCTCAGCCTTCCCCCTGCTGCTGCTATTTTACAACTTCTACATAGAGAAAACCCATACGTGCATGCACCATTTGGTATACGCATTGGCAATATTCTGCATTTTCCTATTGAATCTGCTTCCCTGCCGCCGCTTCAGTTCTTAAGTTCGTGTTCGTTTTATGCATTTGTAGTATAAACATAGGGTTTTCTTGCATGCTGAAGACAGTGGATTATTTGTTTTAAACTCACAATATCACCGAATGCTCTTGAAACAGACAAAGTGCCGTCCACACGAAACACCTTTCGTGTTCGCGAGACAAAGCCGCCTGCACGGTTAATTCGTGCAACTTCCTGCGGGTCATTGGGCTTGTGATCTCTCGACATAATTGTATAGTCTCCGTTTCTATGGAGAATAAATGCGCGAGAATCTCCTAAATAAATCAAAAACATTAAAACATTAGACAAGCAAGCGCTATAAAACAAGAGAAACGTACTAACAAGCCATGTGCGACAGAGGCATGGATGTGTGAAGAACAAACGCAAGAAACGATGGTTATTTAATTCCAATTGAGGAAATAAACCCTTCAATAGTATTTAAATTAATTAATATTATAATTATTTCCTGATTTCTTCTGTTTTATAGCGCATGCAATGCAACTTTAAATCAAGTAATCCTCCTTTTGAACCTACCAACATTAGAAACGTGAATTTTAAACCTGGGCGTGTGCTCGTCAGGGCGTTCAATTGCCACCACCAATCCTAACAAACGAACAAACAAACAAAATATAATAATATATATATATATATGCATGTACTGTTACCTCTTGATTTGGTGCTATCATAATCAGATAATAAGGGTATTTCTTAGGAAAATAACAATATAATATTATAGAAGGAAATAATAGACATAAGAACACAGTCTTGCAAGAAATAATATTTTAAGAAATAATAATACATAATATTCATATTATATTAAGAAACAATAAAATAAACTAATAGGAAACAACGACACATTCTATTTTTATTGTACTAAGAAATAGTGAAATAACCTATTAAGAAATAATAACAAGCATTTTAGTAGCATAACAAAATGCCTACAAAACATACAACATAAAAAATCGTAATTATTATTTCTAAGAGGTCATTCAATTATTTCTTAATAATAAAATAAAATGTTGACAAATACCCCGTCAAGAAACAACATATTACAACTTAGAGAAGCACATTATATTTATGAAGAAAAAAATCATATCCTAAGAACAAATAATATACAGTAAAAAAGAAATAGTAAAATAATAATAACGCACTAATAAATAACACTATAAAAATATAAATAATAGCACTTCATATACACTCAAGTACCACATAGCCGCAAATATATACATATATATATATATATGTATACATACTTATATAATATATATATATATATATATGTAGATGAACAAAGTAACGCACAGTAATATGCATAGAAAAAAACATATATATGTACACATACATATACATATATATATTATATATATATCATTTTATTCAATGGGTATAAATCCCTTTCCTTCCCCAGCAGAGGAAGCCGTGGAGAATCAATACTTAAAACAAAAAACGAAAACAAAATAAACTACTAACAGCTTTATATATTGAATAATTAATTAATTAATTAATTTCTTTTCCTAACCTGTGCTGCCTCCTCTTTCGTGGCGTACAGGATCTGCTTGAATTGCTGCATCAAGAAGTAAAGATGTTCTTTTAAATGTCTCCGGGGATAAGTCAGCCATATTACCTAACCGCAGCACACTTGCATGCAAATCTTGTTGCTCCCTCTGAACATATTTATTACTTTTCTCTTTCTTTACTGTTGTTATTGCTGTCATTATCATTATTCATATCATCTATTATTATTATTGTTACTACTACTATTGTTATTGCCATTAGTATTATTATTATTATTGCTGTTTTTAGTATGTTGCTGTACTATGATTAGTATTGCTATTATTATTATTACTACCGTTACGAACGTACTCTCAGTATGATTTCTATAGTGACTGTTATTAGTATTATTATATTTATAACATTCTTATTATATCAATTATTATATCTATCATTACACTCCCTATAATTACTTCTACTGAACGAGAATAAGCAGAAAAGGTGAAACCTTTTTTATTTCCCAGACTAACCCTAAAACCCTAAAACCCTAAACCCTAAACCCTAAACCCTTTATAGCATAATTCCTTCACAAAAAGACTCAAAACTAATATTCTTTCTTTATCTCTTTTCTTTCTTCTTTACTCCTCTTACCAAAGAAATTGCAAAACTGAGCTACACACGTTCGAGACACCGTCGAACCCCCGTGACCATCGAAGACAGCCTTAAACCGAACATTCGCCAGCCAGTGAGATGGTGCATGCACCAGCAAAGCCTGCAAACAATAATAATAATAATAATAATAGTAATAATAATAGTAATAATAATAATAATAATAATAATAATAGTAATAATAATAATAGTAATAATAATAGTAATAGCACTCATATTAATAGTAATAATAATAATAAACAAAGGTAATAATAATAATGAAAATAAAAGTATTAATAGCGATCATCATAATAATGAGAATAATAGGGGTTTTCAATGCATGCACTAGCAAAGCCTACAAACATACAAGAACAAGAATAACAGCACTAGGGAGAGCAACAACTGTAGAATAAAATTTACTATTATTATTATTATTATTAATATTATTAATGATAGCAGCAACACAAGATGAATAACAGGGCAACCAGCGAGAGACACAGTACTGTCGGTTAGAGAGAGACGCAACAAGAGAAGAAGGAAAAACAAAGAATATCATTTTAAAACAAAATAAACAAATAGCAGATAAGACTGGAGCTCCACATACAGCAGAAACAATGGCATAGGGTTTATCAATTGCATGCATGCGTTCTTCTACGGTCTGCCTGTAGTTTTAATTTATTTTTTGTTATTTATTTATTTATGCTGAATATTTTATTCAAGTATATGTTTATATCTTTGTTTATATAGTGGGTTTTGTTGCGTTGCTGCTGCTGCTGCTGCTGATGCTGCTGCTGCTGCTGCTGCTGCAAGCAAGCAGCAGGCATCTTTCTTACATCTTCGTCTTGTCTTCGCTTTCCATTCATTGTTGCTCCTGCTGTCTTTGTATACCACTCCCATAGAATAACTACCTTTTTAAAGTAGTGTCGTACAAAGGGAGCAGATAAAGCTCGCGCTCTAGCAAAGACTGCAGCGTCGGGGCGAGTTGCTTCATCAGAACCCCGTGCTGCTGCTGCTGCTGCTGCTGCTGCTCCTGCTGCTGCTGCTGCTGCTGCTCCTGCTGTTGCTGCTCCTGCTGCTTCTTTCTCTGCCGCTGCTGCTGCTTCTGAATCTGCTTCTTTCTCTTCTCCTGCAACTGCTGTTGATGCTGCATGCCCTCTCTCTTCTGCTGAATAATCAGCTTCTGCATGCGTTGAGTTTGTCGATGTGTTTAAAGACATTCCGGCAAAGACATGCCCCTCATCTATTCCACTGCTAATCTCAGAAGGTACTTGGGGTGTAGAGACACCTCCTTCCCCATCCCTCCGCTGCTTATCATCTTCTGCTTGCGCTCCATTTTTACTTGTGAAGAAGCCTTTCAAAACTGTGAAAGACAACCAATCATGATTATCATCCGTTGCTTCTACAAGCGCAAATGTAAGAAACGCACTTAGCAGCAGCACCGCCACACAAGGGCTGCACCTCTTCCGCAACGAAGGACCCAAGTTAATAGCCATTGTATGTTCGGCTTGCTGCTGCTGAATCCGCCGCCGCTGCTGCTGGCCCTGCTGCTGCTGCTGCTGCTGCTGCTGGCCCTGCCGCTGCTGCTGGCC